TTGGTCATCGGAATGCAAAAGTTGGAAACAGTGAAGAAGGAAAATAACAGTCTTGGTGACAGAAATGAGACTGGGCATCACATGATTTAATTTTGTACAATGAATGATTTCTTCATCTCAAATACCTTGTTTTTTTCTTTACAATTTTTAATGGTGAAGAAGTGGTTTAGAATAACTGCCAAGTTACATAAATTAACTTTTCTATGTGGGATTGCAGCCTTCAATATGAATTGAGGCTCAATATCAAGAAAACAAAGATTCTCATCACTGGACCAATTGGCAGCATCAGGAATCAGGATGGATGGTGAAGAGATTGAGTTGTTCACAGCTTTAGTCAGCTTGGCTACACAATCAACACTCTTGGCACCAGCAGCCAGGAAATTAAAAGATGTATTGCAATGGGAAAGTCAGCTGTTAGGGACCCGACCTCTCTAAAGTACTCAAGAGCAATGGTGTCTCTCTGGAGACTAAGGTGAATCTGGTACAGGCCATGGTCTTTGCAATCACTTGTTATGCATCAGAGAGCTGGACAGTGACTAGGGAGGAGAGAAGGAGAATTGATGCTTTTGAGCTTTGGTGTTGGAGAAGAGTGCTGAGAGTGCCATGGACTGCTAAGAAAACAAACAGATTCATCCTGTAGAGAGTTAAACCGGGCTGCTCCTTGGAGGCAAGGATTCTGAGGCTTCATCTGACATACTGTGGTCATGTTGTAAGGAGGGACCGGTCCTTGGAGAGGGTCATCATGCTTGGGAGGGTGGAGGGCAGGCACAGGAGGGGAAGGCCCTCTGGGAGATGGATTGATTTGGTGACTGGGGCAATCAGGATGAGTGTTGTCGGAGACAATGAGATTGGCACAGGACAGAGCAGTTTAGAGCTATTGTACATAGGATCACTATGAGTCGCAAGCAACTCAATGGCATATAACAACAAAAACATGTGTAATCCCAGAAAGAACACGCTATTGGACAGTGCAGACTGCACCAGAGTTTTCATCATTTGCTGTCTTGATGTGTGACTGAGCGTGGGCCATGGACCCATCTTCACGTGGTCCAGAAAAAAAAAAGGTGGCCTCCAGGCTTGGCAGGCTTCAGGTCTCCCTCTATCACAGGGTTGGGTTCTGGTCTTGGTCTTGAGTGATCGGGGTTCTCAGGCAAAGGTTGATCTGTTTTCCCTTTAGTGACCTTTGACAGCTCTCCCAGGTCAGGGCACACCCAGCCCAGTTTGTTCATCACACACTCATCAGACTTTGCCTGCTATTTCCAACAGCGAAAAAATAACTGCAGGTTGGAAAAATCAATGCAGGTCCAATATACTGTAAAAGGTACCACACAGCTATGCTTTATCTGCCTAAAGAAGTCCAAAGCACATTTGTTGATAAGCTTGCCTTTCTCTAAACAATGCCTCAGATCTTTCTCTTCCCGGTGGCAGAGCATGAACTCCTTATGGGGCTTATCGTACTGAGCGCCATAGTGATGGGCTGCAGCTTTAAGGATGGCAGAAGTGACTTTGACCTCCTGCACTTACAGCTCCTCTAGATTGGGCAGCTCTTCTATCCCAGGCATGATGACTGCAGCCTGGATCCCGCCGAGGTGCCCTCAACCATTGTGCCCTTGTCTCCTTGAACTCCCCTTAGGAGTAACAAAGTCAAGTACCTTTTTTAAAAACCACAAAAGACATCTTTACACATGGACCTCACTTAGTAGAATGGACAGTAATGAGAGTGATTGTATCTATGGAAAGAATCATTAGAGAATCTCAATGTAAGCAGTCAAAACCAAGCCAAGTGCTGACTGTGGAAGAGACCATCATTTACTTATGTACAGATTCAAATTGAAGCTGAAGAAAATTAAAATAAGTTCACAAGAACCAGAATATGACCATGAATTTAACACACTTGAATTAAATTCAAAATAAACTCAAGAATAGGTTTGAGGTATTAATGAGTGAAAACCAAAAGGATTGTGGGATGACATCAAAGAAAATTATCCATGAAGAGAGTGTAAAGGTCATTACAAAGAAAGAAGAGGAAGAAAAGACCAAAATGGATGTCAGAAGAGACTGCAGATTGCACAAGAGCTGCTTCAAGAAGCCAAAACAAAGGGAAGAAATGCTGAAGTAAAAGAGCTAAACAGACAATTTCAAAAGACAGCTTGAGAAGACAAAGCAAAATATTATAATGAAATGTGCAAAGAGCTGGAGCTGGAGAATAAACAGGGAAGAACTCACTTGACATTTTTGAAGCTGAAAAACAAATTCCAGCCTTGAATTGCAGTACTGAGAGATGCCATGGGCAAAATATTTAGTGATCCAAGAAGCATCAAAAGAGATAGAAGGGATACAGTGTCACTGTACCAAAAAGGATTGGTTGACATGGAAAAATTTTAGGAATTACAGCAAAGCAACAGTGTCAGTCTAGAGACTAAGGTGCAACTGATCCAGGCTGTGGTCTTTTCAGTTACTTGCTATGCATCAGAGAGCTAGGCCGTGACTCAGGATGACAGAATTTAAACCTTTGAATTGTAGTGATGGAAAAGAGTTTTGAACATGCCATGGACTGCCAAGAAAACAAAGAGGGTGCCTTAGAGAGGGTGAAACCAAATTTCTCCTTGGAGGCTAGGATTTTGAAGCTCTGTCTCACATACTTTGGGCACAGGTCAGGAGAGACCAGTCCTTGGAGAAGGACGTCATGCTTGGAAGGGTGGAGGTATGGTGCAGGAGAGGAAAACCCTGGATTGACA